TATAAAAGAGTGTGGGTTTTTCTGGAACCTTTGTACAGATCAGAATAGTTATAGCAATATGGTAAAAGTGGAGGAGGGGAATGAGTTAAGTTGGAGAAGTGGATGAGAACACTCATAAAGAGTATGAAAGATTTATGTAATGACTGGCTTGGCTGGATTGTAAACTTCATGTTGTTGGGAGCCATGTGTTACCTGTACACTAGTGTATTCCAAGGCCTTAGCAGAGTGTCTAGCATATGGTAGATTCTCAATAAATAGTTGCTGAATGAATGAACAGGTAAATCACAGAAAAAACTTTTTTTAAGATAGAGGAAGCTTTTAAAGTGTTTTAAGCAGTGGAGTAATATCGTCAGGTTTACATTTTATGAGGATAAGTGGTAGTATGGAAGGAAGATGGTTAATAATGACCATAGAAATGGCTATAGTAGTTTCTGCCTATTGGTAGATTGCAATCTGCATTTTAAGAAAAAATAGAAAAGAGTATTAGAGGATATCACATGTAATAAGGTTAAATAATGTTTTATGAAACTTTTATTTTAGTTATATATGTGCCTGTGTGTTGACTGATGTAAGTGTATTTCTTCCTATGGACTTTGATGCGAGTTTGAAAGTCGTTATAGTAATGTGGACATGATGGTGGAGAGAATGGAATGGATATAAAAGATATTTTGGAGGAAAACAAATGTGGAAAACTAGCACCTTAAAATGCTGCTGTCCATATGAACCCTCTTTCAGGGAAGGGGATGCACTTACCCAACCTATTTCAGTATTTTTGCTTACTTGATGTTTTTCATTATATATTAATAAGTTGACATTCTGGTTTATTAGGAATGGTGGTGCTTTGAGGTATCTTACTGTGTGTTGTAAATGCTGCAAAATTTCTCTTATTTTGGTAGTGCTCAGTTTAAAATTGTAGGATGAAACCATACTAAGAGTTGTGAAAATTCATGGAAACAGTTTGATTTGATTATTGGCCAAGTTATTAGATTTCTTTCCATAAGAAAGCAGGAAAAGCTGCTTAGTTACATGAGCGGGTGTGAAGGCCTTCTCCCTACCTGCATGACTTTGCCACTCCAGTAGACTTCGTCTGTTCTGCCTGTGACATGTAAATAAGGGCAGAAAGGTGTTCATACAAGGCAGAGTTATATTGGCTTTTAAAAAATTTACGAACTCCTTTAAAATCTGGTTGATGTGGTTAAAATGAGTTTAACTGTGTTGTGCACTTTGTTGTCAGGTGTGAATTATTCTGTGGAGCAAGAAAACATTTAAAAGTTTGAGAAATTTGGTCTGTTCTGTCACCTAAAACATTATTGGGATCTCCTACTGATAAGGTTTGCACAGAAAATGTAAACTAATTTTTCATCGTGGCCTAAGGGGGGAAAAAAGAGAGAGAAAGAAAAAGAAACAAAATGAAGATAAACAGCCTGCCATAATCATTCCTTACTCAAATGTGGAGGGTTATTTGGTGTTCCCTTAATGTGGCATGACACCACTCCTCTTTTTATATGAGAATCTAGAGTTGACACCAAGATCTGGAATTAATAAAAGGGCATATTTTAAATCTAATCCATTCTTTGCTCCACTTTGGGAGGGGCAGAGTTACTGATATCTATTTCCCTCTTAGCCAAAGGAGCTTTCCTTTATTCTAAAACAATTTATTAAGACAAAATGCCACAGAGAGTCAAAAGACCTGGGTTTGAGTCCCGGCCCTGCCACTGGTTATGACTGTAGTCACCTAACTCACTCTTGGTTTCCCTTTATTAAATGAGAATAGTAATAACTATCTAACTCTCCTCATGGAATTGTCTGGGAGAATAAAGTGAAATAAAGTATTTGAAAATGGTTCATAAACTCTTGAGTGACAAGCAAGTGGGAAATGAAATAAGTTCAGATTAGCATTTTTTTGAACAATTGCAATGCGCCAGGCTCCATGGCAAGCTTTGGGGACCCTAATGTGGACAAGAGGGTCTTGAATCTGGCTTCTCTTCAACGTCTCTTAATGTCTTGCCTTGGCCCAGGTCCCCATCATCTCTTTTGGGTCTTTGCTAGGCTGGGCTGTATGTTACCAGGATCTGGTCACTCTTGACTTCTTGCCGCCGCTCCTAGTGTTATCTCCTAAAAACCAAAGTTGATTAGGTCACTGCCGTCCCTGAAGATCTCTGTTGTTTCTCCTCCACAAAGACAAAATCTACTTCCTTGGCCTCAGCTTACATCCTGATCGGGCTTCATTTTTTATCGCTAGTTCCATATGTATATATGCCAGGTTTCTGCTTCACTGAATTACTCAGTCTTCTCTGATACGGCAGGGAAGAGACCAGGTCCCAGCTCGGCCTCTGTACAAGTATGTCCTCGGCCTTCTTCAGCTTTGCTTAACCTTTCGGACCCAGCCCTGACATAGTCTCCTCCATGGCTTGAACCCTCCCCTCCCACGGGAGAGTTAGTTTCTGTAACCTTGTCTGTTCCCACAGCACATTGTTCTTTCTTTGGACACGGTGTTTTTTACTCTGTGAACTGTTGAAGTGCTGGGTTTACATCATTTAGGGTAAGATAAGGAGGCTGTCCACCTAAGGAGGTGTAGTGGATTGAATGGTGGCCTCCAAAAAGATATGTCCACGTGCTAATCCCTGGAACTTGAGAATGTGACTTTATTTGGAAAAAGGGCCTTTGCAGATGTGATTAAGTTAAGGATCTTGAGGTGAGATCATCTTGGATTATCTGAATGGTCCCAATTCAACAACAGATGTCTGCACATAGGAGAGACACAAAGAGTAGGCCGTGTGAAGACAGAGGCAGAGATTGGAGTGTTGCAGCCGTGAGCTGAGGACCCCTGCAGGGAAGAGTCCCCTTCTAGAACCTTTGGAGGGAGTGACATCCTGCTAACACATTGATTTCTGACTTCCAGCCTCCAGAACCATGAGAGGATAAATTTCTGTTGTTTTAATCCACCGAGTTTGTGGTTAATTTGTTATAGCAGCCTTAGAGTACTAATACAGAAGTTTATAGTACAGTGACTGGAACATAATAAAATATCACTGTCACCGCCCTCAAAGACATTGTTATTGCTATTATTTTTGTAACCAACCTAGCCTGGGACCTGGAAGGTAGTACCTGCTCAGAAAATAGCCTTGCCTGTGCACTTTCTAGTCTGGTGGCAGTGGTGGTGGTATGTATGAGAAAGAAGTGTGTTTAAAGGTGGTATCGAAAGAGAGCTTCCAGAATAGAGCACCTCTTAATTTTTTTTTGTTTGTTTTAAATGTCTTTTTGTGTGTTTATGTGAAGGGCGGTAGTGGATGTTTTTAAATTGTTTTTTAGAAACATTTTTACACATTTTAAAATAAATTGTCATTTTAGAAGACTAACAGTAAAATGATGAGCAGTTATATTTCTAACAATAAAAAGACTTAAAATGTGTCTTCTTTTTCCTAATAAAACATTATTTAGCTAAAATTAATTTTGTGCTGGCCTTGGAACACAATTTAGAGAGGGACTTGGGAGCCATAAGGTAATTTATTTCATGTGCTACAAGGTACTTGAAAACCAAAAATTTCAAATAATCATAAATGCAGACTTGGTAGGTGTTATGTATTGTTTGTCTGTAAATTTTAGTTTGCCACTGGAAGCTAGGTCTATGACCTAATTTTTACTAAAGTTTTATAAATTGGTGTCGTAGTTATAAGAGCTAATGTTTATTGAGCTCTTACTATGTTCTAGGCACTGTTCCCAGCTTTCTATATGAATTAACTCATTTTGTTCTAGCTTTCCTAGTCTCTTCTCTATTCTCTTAACTCAAGAGGAAGCTGAGACACAGAGTGGTTAAGTAACTTGCCCAAGGACATGATAGCTTAAGTGGCAGAGACACAGAGTGGCCCTGGCTCATAACCTCCACACTCTCCTGACTCTCAGTGGACCCTGTCAGCCTTCATTGTCTAATACAGTCTGAAGTGGAGAATATCAGTAAATCTAAGTGAAGGGTCCTCATCCAATTCCATAGTGGCTCAAACTTTAGTGTGCTTACCCACGGAGATTCTGATTCCTGGGGCTGGGGATAAGCATTTTTAATACACACCAAGGTGGTTCTGACCGTACGTTTTTTTGTTTTTTTGCGGTACACGGGCCTCTCATTGTTGTGGCCTCTCCCATTGCGGAGCACAGGCTCTGGACGCGCAGGCTCAGCGGCCATGGCTCACGGGCCCAGCCGCGCGGGATCTTCCCGGACCGGGGCACAAACCCGTGTCCCCTGCATTGGCAGGCGGACTCTCAACCACTGCGCCACCAGGGAAGCCCCTGACCGTACTTTGAGATGCCCTGGATCTGGTTCCAGACAGGCCTCACAGTTCATCTCACACGAAGGCTTGTGGTGGTGGCTTGTGTGCTTATGTTAGGCCATTCTTTGTGTATGTCTGTGTGCCAGGTGAGTCTATTGAATACATACATGGATCTAAACTTTTGCCTGAATGCCTGCCTTACTAATCACCTTTCCTTTATGGAGATGAATAAAAGGCCAGCATCAGAGGGATTTTTTTTTAACCTTTTGAATGAGCTTTGCAATAGGGTATATTCGATCTGAGGAAATCGTTATGATGGATGTAAGGTTTGTAGACGGGAGAAAATATTCGTGACATAGAATTTCTACTCTATTGGGTTTGTTTGTTTTTTTTTTTTTTTGGTATGTTTGTTTTTTGTTTAAAAGAAAATTTTAATGTGCACTGGACTTCACAACAGAGCAGTAGTTTCATGATTTGGGTTACTCTGAATGTTAACTGTGGACAAGGAGGGAGTCTTTGCTCTTAAGTTTGGGAAGAAATTTTCATGCCTCTGTACAGCCAAACCCCCTGATTGTGTGTGTTTTAGAATCTAGGGAGAACACTAAGCTTGCACTTTTACTACTTGAGTATCTTAGTTGCATGTTGAACTGGCAAAATATGTTTTTCTTTCTCTCAGGGAGTCACGAATTGCACTGAACCAAAAAACGTCCAGCATTTTCTTCAGTTACAAGCAAAATGAATATTCCCATGCTGCTCCAACATCCTCATCGGGACTTCCTTAAAGTCCTTTTAAGAACACTTTACCGACGTTACCACTTCATCTTACCCTCAAGTACTCACCTCACATCAGGAATCCCATGTGCTCAGCAATTCAGTTCTCTCGGACTCCATCATGCAAAGTGGATGCTGCTGTCAAATGGTTTAACAAGAAAATTATGTCTACAAACAACCTTAAAGGAACAGACAGAAGGACTTTCTGATAAAGAACAAAGGCTTGTGGCTGAGCTTTATACTGGTTTAATCCAAGGGCAAAGGGCCTGCTTGGCAGAGGCCATAACTCTTATAGAATCAACTCACAACAGGAAGAAAGAGTTAGCCCAGGTGCTTCTTCAGAAAGTGTTAGTCCACCACAGAGAACAAGAGAAATTAAATAAAGGAAAACCACTAGCATTTCGAGTGGGTCAGTCTTTGTTTTTTTTGGTTTTTTGGTTTTGTTTTTTGTCTGTCCAGTAAATATTTTTCTAAATTCTCTCTTCTTTTAACATAAGTCTAAATAGCTTATGATCTAATGGGGATTTTTTGTCCTTGCAGAATTTTGGAATGAATTTTGAATGCCTTTTCTTTGTAAATATTAGTCTTGTTATGTGGTGGGAAATGCAATGGCCATTTGAACGAAGGCTCTGTATTTTAAGAGAATAAGGTGAGATTCCTCTTTTGGCAGGGATCTCGCTGTGGCTCCCAGAACAGAAACGTGCACAGGAAGAACTGTTCACCAGTTTACTCCTTTCTCTCAGTAGAACTTCTGCTTAATAGTCTAAAGTGACTTCCCTGCTGTTGTGGTTATAGCAACCATAATTATCCTTATCACATTTCAGAATTCTGCTTAGGTGTTTCATTAGTCTTTTCTCTAAGCAAGTCTCACTTCTTTCAGATACTTTAAAAAAAAATTATTTATTTATTTTTGGCTGCGTTGGGTCTTTGTTGCTGCACGCGGGCTTTCTCTAGTTGCGGCGAGCGGGGGCTCCTCTTCGTTGCGGTGCACGGGCTTCTCATTGCGGTGGCTTCTCTTGTGGAGCACGGGCTCTAGGCACGTGGGCTCAGTAGTTGTGGCATGCAGGCTCAGTAGTTGTGGCTCTTGGGCCCTAGAGCGCAGGCTCAGTAGTTGTGGCACACAGGCTTAGTTGCTCCGCGGCATGTGGGATCTTCCCGGACCAGGGCACGAACCCGTGTCCCCTGCATTGGCGGCGGATTCTTAACCACTGTGCCACTAAGGAGGTCCCTCAGATACTTGTTTATTAGAGTTTCTGGAAATGGCTTGGCTCTAAGCAGAGCCAGCTCAATACCAAAATGCATTTTAAAGGAGACACCGTGTTCATTTGCTGTCTAAAAATATTAGGTGTTCACTTCTTGAACAGTTGACCTGTTTCTGTAATTGCAAATAAGCTTGTTATATTTTTGAAGCTGTGCATTATAGAACAATCTAGACGTGTTTGACCAGAAGGAATTAAGCAAGTTTTGGGTGGAGCGAGCGCCTTTCATGATGGCAAACTAGGTGATTCCAACCAACCCTCCCATTATAAACAACTTAAAATGGTCGACAAAGTGCATAAATTGTGTGAGGAATGAGTAAATGTACTTAAAAGTGGATTAGCATTACTTACGTCTCAGTTTATTTCCAGTATGGGGCCTAAAACCTCCTAGATTTTAGGGTAATGGGGCCTAATGCTTTAAAGATAATTTCAAAAAGAGCTCACCAACTGCTGTTTGTACTAGTCCACATTTTCCCCACATCTTATTCTTCTGCCCTCACTGCGGGGACTCTCTTTTTGAGAGTACTGCGCTGGGTGTTAATACTCTTTATGTATTGTGGACAAAATAGCAAATTCCCAAAGAGAAATTCCAGTTATGACAAAGTGTTTACTTATTAGGCTGTAGAGAATCTTTGAAGAGAAAATGTCCAGAAATACCTAGAGTTAACCAGCAACTCATACATAACTAGCAACTCATAAATTTGCAGCACTATTCTGGTTCTTCCATCCAGACCTTATGAGGCCAGATAAACCTGAGTCTTTGTTGCAGTTGTTTTATCACCATGGTAAATAAAAGCAACAAATGTTTATTCAGCACTCATTAAGACAGAGACCTGCCCTGAAAATTGTGGTATGTCGCCAAGCATACCATATGCCATACATACTTTTGAATGTAGTTACAATTAAGTGCTTATGTTTTATAGATTTTATTGAACATGTATATCTCTTGATGCCATGTGCTATTCTAAACATATTGCAAAATTAACTCATCTGATCCTCACAATAACCTGAAGAAATAGGTGCTCTTATATCCATTTTATGACAGAATATACTCAGGTACAGAATGATTAAGTGACTTGCCCAAGATTACACAGCTCATAAGAGGTAGAGCTAGAAATAGAACTGGCCGACTGGCTCCAGAGTTTGTGTTCTTGCCTGCCATGCTCTGCTAACTCTCCAAGTAGGGGAATTTTCTGCCTTTCTTAAGATAAAAAAATTTTTTTTTCAGGATTCAGTTTATATTATTTTCTTTGAGTTATGAGTGAGATGAAAAAATTGTATTTCATAAGTAGAAAATTATTTTCTCAGTCACTGGGAATTTCTGGAGTAATGAGTTGTTCTTCCAGTGGAAACAGCATGGACAGAATCGGGGTGGGTGGAATAATTACTGATTGTGATGAGAGGTGGGGAGATATTGGAGAAATTCAGCACATTAACAACATAAGCAATGAAGTCTGCCCCAAAAGCTCTACGTTATAGTAAAAAGGCAAATCACATTTTGTAATTTTTAAAAGTGAATCTGGTGAACATATGGAACTCTGACTTCTCTCCCTCCTGTATCCCTATTACTCAGGGACTAGATAAATAGGTAGATTTTTGTTTACCGCTTTAGGAAGTGTTAAACTACATTAACGATGGTTTTAATAAATTAGGAGAAGTAGAAGGTAGTCTAGTATTTTAATAGAACTCATCATGGTGCTGATTTCATTTATTTCATTAAATTACAAAGTCTGTCTCCACCATAGGATTGTCTGGGCCTCCTGGTGCTGGGAAGTCAACTTTTATAGAATATTTTGGAAAAATGCTTACTGAGAGAGGGCACAAATTATCTGTGCTGGCTGTGGACCCTTCTTCTTGTACTAGCGGTGGTGAGTATTGCTGCTGCTTCGTAAATTGCAGAGCAGGGGCTTGTGGAGTGGAGCCGGCTCTCTGTTGCAGTTTAGGGGGAATCTGCACAGACGGGTGTCTTCTGACCTCTCGCTGAGTTTGGTCTCAGTGAAGGAAGGGAGGTGGTGGGTGTGAGGTGGAGGCTGAGGGAGGTGTTTGGGGCATCGAGTTCTCCAGAGGAGGTTAGCTTACAGGTAACCTAGGAGTAGCCTGGGTACGTAGAGAGGTAGGAGAACAGGTGCCAGAAGTTGCAGATGATCAAAAGCCAGTTTCACCCCTTTGTGTATCACACCTGAGGCTCAGCCTCTTTTCCTTTCATTGTTTTTCGTGGCTCCATCAGCCCCTACGCAGTTCAGAAAATGGCTTCTTACTCATTAATTTCCTCATATTGTAACGTCTCTTCTCAAGCTTAAAAAACATCTTCATGCTCTATTTAACTTGTCACCTGTTTATATTACATGTTCAGTTAAACAGAAAGCTCTTAGAGGGACCATGTGATATACTCTCTCTGTTCCTGGCAGCACTTAGCCTAGTACGTTGCACACAGTGCTCAGCAATTACTGATTTGAGGTCATGCAGTCACTCAAAGTTTAATTTGCAGAGATAAAATGAATAAACTAAGTTCCCCAAAGGATCATTTAAGGGAAACATAAATCATACTATATAAATACTCAGGAAAGCTTTTTCTTCCCTTACCCCTCTTTATGATTGAAGCATCTCACATGACAGTTATTCATTTAACAAGTATTCAGCACCTATCGTAGGCGAGGCCCTGTACAAAAAAGGTACTGTGTTGTTTAATGTTGAATAAGATGCATTTCTCTTGGCCTTATGGAGCTTTATATCTCATGAGGGAAACAGGTGCACGCAGGCCGTTACAATGTAATGTGTGTTGCGAAGGGGGAAATACAGGGTGCTTTGTGGAAGGGTTTGGTTTATATCCTGTGGGTTTAATGCTAAAAAATAAATACGATATCATATTTCAGGGGCTTTAGGTCAATAGAGAGGTGGACAACAATTCCTGTTACCATCCATTGAGAAATTTAGCCGAGAACATTCACAGTTTTTGATTCAGTATAATGAAAGGGTTAACCATAAAGTAAAATTTATACTCGCAAAGTTCAAGATTAAATACATGTCAGTGTATTATCTTTTTTTATAGTCTAAGAACTTTGTGAAAGGTAAGCACTTGAACAAAGAATTTATTTATAATGACCTTCATTTTCACACAGGTGCAGAGACTTTCCCCCCACCTTCATAATACTCTAGAATACTTGTAATAGCAAAAGAAAACAATAGTTTGAGATAAGAGTAGCGGAAATGGTGACACAAGATAACCTGATTGAAGTTACATAGCTATGTGGTTCCTAACCTTTCTCAAACCAAAAATGAAGGTCCTTTTCTCAGGTAAAAATACAAAGACTCTGAAAGGAAAAACCATGCAAGGATAAACAGGACACTCTTACCTTTTCATTGTAACAGTAGATACATTTGAAAATAGCATTCCATAGAAGTTTGAGAAGCCTGTAGTCAATCCTTGTTGTGCTTTGGACTCACGGGCCCCCTGCAGTGGCAGCTTGGAGACCTCCCTAAGGCTCTGCGGTCACCAGTTTTAGATTCACTGGCAAAGACAATTATATGGGAGAGTAATTTCATAAATGTTTTAGTTCGGTGTGTTAGGATCTATAGGATAATAATTTAAAGTGTAGCTTTGGCAGATTGTTGACTTACACAGAGATGATTTCACCCAGAAAATTACTTTAGAACAAAGTTTTATGTACAGTAAATAAGGTAATCGAGCTCTGTGGTAGGTGTATGCTGGGGAGTTAGAACCTATGAGAAGTCAAAACTGGAATCGTGAGGGAACAGATCATATCTTTAAGGGACCCCCTCAGTGGTTAGCAGCAGCTTTGGAAAGGTTAGCTCTTGAGCAGAAATTAAAATTCAGGTTAGAACAGCACTACACCTTCAGATGTTACTATGTGGCTAAAGGAAAGAAGGTAAAGGTAATTTCACTAATTCCGGGGCTTTCGGTCTCTTCTAGAATTTGCAGGTACTGATGTTTGCCAAAATACTGCAGTACACACGGAAACAGCAACGGTTCTATTCCACAGGCATTACATTAATTGCCTACTGTGAACAAGCATTCAGTGTACAAAATATGTAAGACATGGTCCTATAGACAAGCAACTCAGTTAAAGCAGATTTTCTCAACCTTGGCACTAATGACATTCTTTGTTGTGGGCAGCTGTCCTGCACATGGAAGGATGCTTAGCAGTATCCTTGATCTCTACCTACCAGATGCCAGGAACACCCTTCCCTCCAGTTGTGACAAGTACAAATATCTCTACACATTGCTAAGTATCCTCTGGGGGAAAAAATCACTCCCAGCTGAGAACCATAAACACAGCAACGTTAAGAGGACAGTAAAGAAACCACCCCAACTGGAATGGAAAATTGATTTGGGGATTAGTGAAGCTGAAATTGGACAGGTAAGGTAGGCTACATTCTGAGGGCCTCCAATGCAAGACTGAAGAATCTAGATTTGAACCTCTAGTCAGTGGGAGCCATTATAGGTGTTGAAGGGCTTAAAACATTAAATAGATTAATTTGGCATCATTACATACATGGTGTTGGAAAAAAGCTTAATAATATGAAATACAATTTGAGGTTTGGGGAGAAATGTCCTGAAGCACTTCCCCTAGGAATTGGCTGATTGATAATTGGCCCTTATAGGTGTTCCATGATTATAAAATGTAACTGTGTGTTTTAGGATCACTCTTAGGTGATAAAACCCGAATGACTGAGTTATCGAGAGATATGAATGCATACATCAGGCCATCTCCTACTAGAGGTACTTTAGGAGGTGTGACAAGGACCACAAACGAAGCTATTCTATTGTGCGAAGGAGGCGGATATGACATAGTTCTTATTGAAACCGTGGGTGAGTGTGATTTTCTATTCTATAACAATAAAATACTATTAAAATGAATGCTGTATAAAGATGAATGACAGCTAATTTCATTTTGTTCATTCAGCAGATACTTACTAAAGAGGTAGTTAAATATAAGCTATCTCAGACTCTGTAGGAGATATGAGTATATAGGCTATAATCCTTACCCTTAAAGAAAAGAAAGGTGAGCCCTGTGTCTGGATAACTGTTATACAAGGTGGTATGTTTTCAGTGCTGGAGAACTGTCAGCATTAGGATGACCTATGGAAACACTACTTTAACATAACACCCATTTTATTTAAGCAGAGTCATATGTCTGCAGTATTCACTAAGAAGATTAGCATAGTTGGGCACCTCATGTTTTATTTCACCTTTATATCCCTAGCACATGGTTACACACAATGAAAATACTGAAAAGGAAACCCCAAGAACTTCACATTCCCATGGAGAGACAATTTGTTATATTACTGTGTGATCAATGTTTGTGACACAACCTGACTCAGATTTGGGGGATCAGGGAAGACTTCAGGGAGGAGGTGACAGTTGAACTCAGTTTTGTTTTGTTTGTTTGTTTGTTTTTTTGGCTGTGTTGGGTCTTTGTTGCTGCGCACGGGCTTTCTCTAGTATGTGGTGAGCGGGGGCTACTCTTCGTTGCGGTGAGCAGGCTTCTCATTTCAGTGGCTTCTCTTGTTGCTGCGCACGGGCTCTAGGTGCGCAGGCTTCAGTAGTTGTGGCATACGGGCTTAGTTGCTCCGCAGCATGTGGGATGTTTCCGGACCAGGGCTCGAACCTGTGTCCCCTGCATTGGCAGTCGGATTCTTAACCACTGCGCCACCAGGGAAGCCCCTGAACTCAGTTTTGAAGGGAGGGTTGGAGTTAAGTAAAGTATGGGCTAAGGGGCCTTGACCGAAACACACAGGAGTGAGCGAATGTGGCGCAGTCAGGGCACTGCATTTTGCGCAGGATCCTTAGAGCATGGAGCCACGAAGGCAGGGAGTGAAGACATGGGCTAGAGTCCAGGAGTCCATCGTCTAAGGGCAGATGGAGGAAAAGTTGCCTGAGTAGTGGTAGGAGAATCAATGGGGAAGAGGACCATAAAATCACACATATTAACTGAAAGTTGTGTTTGGCTGCATGTTTCAGAGACTCAAACTATCTCTGACTCAAACAAGGAAGAGGGTGGGTTTTGTTTGTTTGTGTATTTGTGTTTTTTGTAAATAAAAGAAGCCTGGCGGCAGGCAGGCCCAGAGGGCGTGGTGGTTCTACAGCGCATGGTGGGGGGGGTGTGTGGCTCTCCCTGCTCTCCATTCTTAGCACTTAACTTTCCAGCCTCAAGGTTGCCCGTGGATAAGGAAGGAAGAAGGGGGAATAAGGAAGGGGAAGAGGTCGGAAGCGCTATACCTCCTGGCTGGCTTTGCCCTCTTGAAAGAACTCTCCTGGAAATGCCATCTAGTGACTTTTGCTTTCACACATTAACATCTCTGGCTGACTGGTGATGTGGGGGGTCTCTGGGGGGTCTGGTGATGTGGTCTTTCACCTGGGACGCTGATGCCCCTGGTGAACCTGGGGGAAGGAAACAGGGAAGGATGAACATTGCGTGGGCGACCAGAAGTCTGCCCCACCAAGGAAGGAGAGAGTTGGAGAGGAGGTTTAGTGGAGTGGGGCATGTGGAAGTCAGATTTAAGTGGATTGTGGTTGATGCAAAGTAGTTGTGTGAGGACGGTGGGCACAAGGTGCCTTTTCCCAGACATTTAGCTACCAAGGGCAAGTGAGAAACACGGTGATGAGGGCAGGAGGTCGGGAGTTTTTGTCTTCTTATTTTCTGGTTGTGTTTGGTTTTCAGATGAGAAAGACGAGCCCAACTCATGGGATGTTTGAGGGCCGGGAGCCTGTAGACAAGGGGAGGTTGGAGATGAAGCAGAGCCAGAGCCCAGGGGAGGTGGGAAGGAAGGAGAGGCCTCTGACACTGGGCCTGGCGAGGAGGCAGCAGGGCGGAGTGTGTGTTGTTCCTGCTTCTCTGGGGGGTTGCGGGGGGAGGCTGAGGACGTCTTTGCCTCTGTTTGGCCGTGAAGCAGGTGCCGCGGTCATCGGTCATCATCATGTGGGGAGATTATGGGACAGTGAGCGTCTGTAGTGGCCACTGTGGGAAACAGGAAGGAAGCTGCCCGAGGGCGTTCAGGGGCATCGCTTTTCCTGTACCAAGAGGAAGATGTAGCCGATGTTGGAGCCCATGACCCTCCGGTGGCGCCTGTCCACACAGCTGAGGGATTTCTCCAGGACACTTAATGGAGGAGAGACACGGGCAGTAGGACTGATCCACGGGTGGGCTTTGCAGGGTGATAGAAGGATAAGGAGGCAAGGAAGCTGCCAGACATGGTCTAAGGTTAGAATCAGGCGCTCAAGCTGCTCACCCATGAAAGGGGAGCCGAGAAAGAGCAGCGAGAGCGAGGGGAGAGCGCAGGTCTTCACATTCTCCATCCGGTCAGAGACCGTGCTGGTGGGAGCGGGGGCCGGACGGAGGTGGGGAGGACCACAGCTTTGCTCTTCAGGCGAGGCAGTGGCATTTAATACATTGTTCAGAGGTGGTGGTTAGAGCGGGGTCAGGTCGAGTGCGTGATGGCGAGTATGAGCAGATGAACTGGAGCGGAAGTGGTGGTCAGGGGAGTTGAGGAGGTCAAATTCCCGTGACTGTTTCAGTATACACGCGTGATTTAAAATTCCAGGTGTGGGGCAGTCGGAGTTTGCTGTTGCTGACATGGTTGACATGTTTGTTTTACTACTGCCACCAGCAGGAGGAGATGAGTTGCAGGTAATTATTTTGACTTTTTCACCCCCCAAAACACAAAGTGTACATCTCTGAAAGTACAAATTCCCAATGTTGTGGGTTTTTTTGTAAATTAAGTTGATATTAGCGTAGGGA